GCAAGAAGTGATAATGAGTGCGACTTGGGTTAATCATCAATTTGATTACAAAAAGAATCGTTCTTTACAGAAATTAACCTTTCAGCGTACTGCTATCTTACATCTTTACCAGGTAAGCTGACCATACATCACTTTAATGTGATATCAACCAAAGACTCAGGTTAAGATTTGTCGAACAAGGCATATGTATTAGGTTGATCAGAATGTCCTTCCAATTTTTCTTTAGACCTCATCGTTTCGCTCGGTCAAGACGTACTTTAAAGGTTTGTTAGAGGCGATAGGTAATTTTGCGGGTAAGCACGGATCTAGCGCATCTAGTTAGCGATGCCAGCTATGAGATCCGATAAATGCACTCTTACAAAATTGTTGTAAGCTTCTACACAATGATGGTACTGGTGACAAGTCATTCAATCCTTCAAGGCTTTCTACATCTATCAATCAGTTAATGGCTAGCGCAATTACCTTGAATGTAGAGAACAGCTCTAAGCTCCACTATAATTCTGATGAGGGGTTGTTCAACATGAGTGCAAGTCTAGTACAATAGCTTCAAAACTTTTTACAGCATCTGCAAAGAAAAATAGCCGTTTTGGCGCAATTCAGAGTTATTTGAAATATAAGAGCTGGGAATATTCAAAAAGTGAACGATGTGCAATTCTAACTGTATCACATACACAAGGTAAAACTCTGTCGAAACACCACTAGCTTTGATTTGCCCACTACATGAGCAAACATAACTCCTCCAAACTGAACATGTCAAAATAAGAGTTTGAAGTTTTACTAGGCGTTCCTCTCAATGAACCAGAGAAATTACATTCGCAACATACCCTATGTACCGTACGTAAGTAGATATTATAAGTTTCTAGTATAACATTTCAAATAATTGTTGTTGACTGCTGCAACTCAAAAAAAAAGTTTTGAGCAAAAAAAAGCAATTATTGGCAGGACTTTTTGATCAACCTGATATAAAACCAACGTTGAAAAATGATCCTTGAATGAATCTTCCAAATAACATGAGAATGAATGATGGTGCAAGGGCAGATCCGACTCCAGCAAGACCAGATACAATGAGACTCCAAACGAGCACAGGTCGACGACCAATCCTGTAGAGCTTACCATGGAATTTAAACAAGGGATCCCAAACAGAGGCATACCTGTCAGCGGCCATGCAGTAGGCTTGCCCGAGTACTAGGTTACCCAGAAAGTAGACGGACGATGTCAACTCGGCAGGATCGATAATTGTTCGTTGCAGTTGAAACTTGAAAATAAATCAATGAAAACCCAAACAATCCGGGATTTTGCCTTACTTCAACTTGCACTGATAAAAAGGACGAGTTCTCAAGGTCTGCGGAAGGCGCTAGGTACGCTGGCGAAAGTGTGGGCATCGCTGATAGGAACCACAGGAAACCCATAGAAAAAATGATGAAGAGTGAATGGAAGTTCAAACTAAAATAAGCTTTCGAGCAAATCAGTGTGGAGGGATGTAAAACTGTAAATCTACGAACAGTCCTAGTTGCGTAAGAATATCATCGGTGCTATTGCCATATCCCTTTTTCAGCTTTTCAGGCTCCAATATCTCTGCAGCTACAGGGACGATCTGAGATCATAGCAAAATCAAAATGAAGATTTTTTAAAATCTCTCTCCATACCTTCATGTTCGCTAGAGACTCGCTTGTCGCAATGAGAGCGTCCTGTTCGCCAATATTTCTGAATATTGGTTACACATGTAAGTAATGACACACAAAAATTATTATGTTTTTCGAAAAAATTGACGTTCATGGGATTCTAAAAAGCAATGAGGCCGTTGTTTTTCGTTAATAAAGTCGTTTCTTATAGAATGGAGTACAACAAGCATTCCTATTTAATTTGGTCATACTATGTCTAAGAGGTAAGAATACTTAGTTAGCCGAAGTGGCGATTTAAGAAGAAAAAATGGGATTGGGCGCGGGTTTCAAGTCTATCTTTCACATCTGCAAAGCGTTTTTTAGGAGAAAATTACGAGCCTTTAAAAATTTCAAGTGCTAGCTCCCTTTTATCAATGTGCACCAATGCTTAGTTGGTGCAGTGACGGTTGGTGCGAATGTGAGTATGTGGTTTGGCTCTTAATTTATGAAGTTTCGAATCCCGTTGCCGTCGCAAATTTTGCATTTCTCAAAAATGTTTTCAGTGTCAAATGTCATGATTTCATGAATTGAATGACGCATTCTCACGTAAATGATGGTTGAACAAATTATAAAAGATGAGCTTATTCGATATGAAATTTATTCCACAGAACTATAACGCATCAAGCAGTTCTTGTAACTTATTAATCCGTAAGCAAGGCATACATTCATTTACAAATATACTGATATGCCATTATAAAATGTGTAAAGCATAGATATTATTCATCCCAAGGAATGAAAGTTACATTATTGCAGCTGTTACTTTGTAGTCTACCATTAAGCTGGAAGGAAACAGAACTGGTTGT